CCCTGCACCCCAGAGCTGCAGACTGGGTGGTCAAACAGGGATGGGCACATGTGAGGGGTGGGGGGCCTGTGCCTCTCCGTGCCTCAGTTTCCCCCTCTGTGAAATGGGGACAAACATCCTCTGGCTCCTGACAGCCAGTCTCTTCTTTCCATTCGCTCTGTTCCCATCCTGTTCAGACTCCATCTTCCTTCACCTGGGCCTTTCCCGCAGCCTCCGGATGGGACTTGGCCCCCTCCACCCTCACCGCTCCCTTCCCACAAATCTCCCGAAGCGCACCTTGGATTACACTCTCCCCCTCCTCAGGCACCTTCGGTGGCTCCCCACTGCCTGTGAACGAAGCCCCCGCTCCATGAGCGGACCTCAGAGCCTGTCCGTTTCCCAGCCTGCTTTGCGTTCTTCTGCCTTCCCTGCCTCAGGGCCTTTGCACAAGCTGTTCCTGCCTGGCTTACCGTGGAAGGAGAAGGTGAAGCCGGCAGCGCTGGGCAGGCTGGTGTTCTGAGGCCTCCACCAGGAGCTGACAGAGGTGGCGAGCATCCGGGGGCCCTGGGCCAGGATTGGCTCCTGGCCCTGGAAGCACAGGAGGCCGGAGGCTTGGTCACTCAGCAGGAAGTCGTTCTTGCCGTAGAGCAGGTGCAATTCCCCAGCGTGGCGGTTCCAGGAGAGGCAGAAATGGTAGAGGCCCCTGGGGTCGGGGAAGAAGTGGGAAGCCCCGGGGACTCCAGGGAAGGGGGCGTGGACTGTGAGGGCCTCCTCCGAGTTCTCGATGGAGATGCGCAGCTGTGTCCACCGCTCATAACGGAGGCTGCTCTTCTGCGTCTGGTTCCTCTGGCCGCAGAAGCGGAAGTCCTCCCGGAAGCCCCCAGCCTGGGCACCTGAGGAGGCGGACACTGCAGATGGGACTCTGGGGCAGGGGCCATGGGAGGGGCAGGCCCGGGGACCAGAACACAGGGGCCCAGTATCTGGGACCCACACACATTTCAAAGGTCAGTACCTTAGAGGGCCTACAAATAATGTGAGTGACCTTGCTCAAAAATCATTGGCTTCAAAATATGAAAAGAAGGAACTCAAAAGTCATCATTTCTAAGGCAAAGCATTTTAAAATAGCGATCGGGTATTTGATGAGGCCGTGCTGCTATAGACAGGTTTTTGGGCATTGCACAAGGAAGCTCTGGCTCCAGAGTGGGCTCCCAGTCCATGATCCCCACCCCAAGCTGTGCATCGGGAAACTACATCTGCCAGAGAAAAGGGGGTGCTCTGCCCTGGCCGGTGTGGCTCAGTTGGCTGGGGGTTGTCCCGTGCACCAAAAAGTTGCTGGTTCCATTCCCAGTCAGCTCACATGCCTGGGTTGCAGGCTCAGTGCCCGGTAGGGGGCATGCAGGAGTCAGCCGATTGATGTTTCTCTCTTCTCCATTCCTCTCTCTAAAAATCAATAAACTATTCTTTAAAAAAAAAAAAAGAAGGGGGAACCTTTCTCTTTTCTCAAAGGTACCATCTATTGCTAAGCTGTGTCTGCAGGCCTGTGCCTGCCCAACGGCTTAGGGGTGCACTGGCCGCTGGCCTAGGCATGGGGGCCTTTGAGGCCAGTCCCAGCCGTCCCAGGAAAGCCTACCTTGAACCAGGAGCAGCAGACCCAGCAGCAGCGGCCCCGTCTGCACCTGCACTGGGGCAGCCATCTTCCGCCTTAGGAGTCACCCTGGGAAGTCACTGCCTGAAAGACAGCAGGGATGTTAGCCAGGGGCCTGACCCACGGGGAGGCTGAGCCGGCCCTGCAGAGGGGAGGCCGTGTAGCACGGGGGGGTGTGAGGTGGGGAGGCAAGTGTGGAAAGAGCCCGCGGACCCCCCCAAACCTGCCAGAAGCTGAGCATCAAGAGGCTGTGGCTGGCCCCGCTGGTATGGTTCAATGGATGAGCATCGACTTATGAACCAGGAGGTCAGGGTTCGATTCCCAGTCAGGGCATATGCCTGGGTTACGGGCTCGATCCCCAGTGTGGGGCGTGCAGGAGGCAGCTGGTCCATGATTCTCTCTCATCATTGATGTTTCTATCTCTCTCTCCCTTCCTCTCTGAAATCAATTAAAAAAAATTTTTTTTTTTGGTAAAAAAGAGGCTGTGGCTGACCAGAGCCCGGCCAAGTTCAAGCCCTGGCTGCACCTCTTGCTTGCCACAGGACCCTGTAGAAGTCACAGAAAATGGGGCCCTCTGGACCCAGCAGGGCAAGGAAGGCTAGGGTCATCTTCGCTAGGATCTGGTGGGGAAGGCTCCACAGCGCCACCTGGAGGCGACTCAGGAGAAAGGGGGCTCTCAGAGTCCTCCCCAGGAACCTCACCATCCCCATCCCCAACACCCAGCTCAGAGGACACCTCCTCCAGGAAGCCTTCCTCAAATCCCTCTGCTGGAGGTCCTGGCCTCCTTTGGTTCCCACCACTGGCCAGGGCGCCCTTTACTAGCCTCCCAGGAAGTGCAGGATGGTGCACGCCCTCCTCCTCCCGCCAGGGAGCTCCCTCCCAATCCATCTCTGTGGACAGCAGAGAGCAGGGAGGTGGGGTGAACAAGTGAAAGAAGAGTGAAGAATCAGCGTGTCCATGGCGCCCTCTACAGGGGCCAGAGGGGAAGGGCGCTTCCCATCGTGACCACCAGGGGGAGCCAGTTTCCAGGGCTCTGGGTGTCTGGACCGGCTGTGAGACTGTCCCAATCTGAAGGGGAGACACTCAACCTTATGGCTCAAGTGGGGGGTGGCCCAACTACCCTCACCTCCACCTCCGCCCCGGGGTGGAGGGGGCACTTCTGACCCACCATGGCCTCTATTAGCTGAGCACCTATTCTCTGCCAGCCTGTGCTGGCCCACCCCACCCTCGTACCTATATTAATCCTCTCCAACCCTGTGACGTGGGCCAAACTGAGGTCCAGGGGGTTAAGTGACTTGCCCAGAAGCCAGGAGTTCTTCCTGCCTGGTCAGAACTGTGGTGCCTGGCAGAGAACCTGTGTGCCTGGCACGCATGGAGAGATGCCAGGTGGCTTGGTCTTTGCCGCTGCCATTTGGCCCTCTAACCAAGTTGGGTGGTGCCAGACGCAGACAGAAACCCTCATCCTGTGGGGAACTGCATATGGTCATGGTGACAGATGCAATCACCTGCCACAGGCCAGACGAAGGGAAGCCTGGCAACCTAGGGGCACGGGAGGAGTGAGAGTTTGGTAGAAACCAAGGAGGGCTTCCAGGAAGAGGTGGCATTTAAATGGCCTAGTTGAGGGTAGCGTTAAAGGGAGGGGTGACCCAGGCAAGAGCTCATTGTCTCCTGCTTGGGCCGTGCCTTCCTCGAACTAACCTGCCCCCCTCAAGTTACAGCTAGTCTTCTACGTGTAATGGAACCCCTAATTTCTTGGGCCTCATCAGTCCCATCATTGGTCAATCGGGCTCATCATCCTGCTCTGGTGGCATCACAGGACCCCTTAGAAGAAGGATGTGAAAGTGTTTTAGGGAACGGCCACTGTTTCCTAGGTTGTGATTTTTAAGGTTTCACTCTGTGGCCGCTCTGAACATTTTGACCCCTTTTGAAACTGCCTTCTGGCACCCAGACCAGAGGAAGGAAACGCAGCATCCAGGACAGAAATATGTCCCTCCTGGACCCCCTCCCCCTTTCCTTCTCCTCTCAGCCAGCCTCTGTCGCTGTCTACCTCTGACTCCCTATCCAGATGTCACCTCTTCCAGGCAGCCTCCCTTGCTGTGGCCTCTGCTTTATGCTGTGAACTCGTAGTTCGCACATCACTTTGAGAATGTGGCCCAAATTCTCCATGTTATGGCATTTATTTTATTCTATTTTAAATGTATCTTTATTGTTGAAAGTCTTACAGATGTCCCCTTGCCCCCCCCCCCCATTGACCCCCTTCATCCCGACCAAGTTATGGCTTTTATTTTTATTTTTTTAATATATTTTATTGATTCCCCACAGAGAGGAAGGGAGAGGGACAGAGAGTCAGAAGCATCGATGAGAGAGAAACACCGATCAGCTGCCTCCTGCACACCTCCCACTGGGGATGTGCCCGCAACCAAGGCACATGCCCTTGACCGGAATCGAACGCGGGACCTTTCGGTCCGCAGGCCGACGCTCCATCCACTGAGCCAAACCGGTCAGGGCAACGTTATGGCTTTTAGATTTGAGGCCTAGAGAGGGCCAACGACTTCCTGACATCGCACAGCAGGCGAGGATGGAGCTGGCTCTGTGCAGGCACGCATCTCTCTGGCACACTGGCCTTCGAAGTGAGCGACCACTGTCCCTAGATTAGGTCCCAGGACAGGGTCGCCGTTTCCTCGTTGTAAATAGCACTAAAAATCAAGCCTACCTCAGCGGTCACTGCAAGAATTAAATGAGTTGATAGCCGTAAAGGATTTAGAACAGGGCCATGTGTGCGGTAGAAGCCACCTGTGTCAGCTAAATATCTCTGTATATGCCCAGCCGGCGTGGCTCAGGGGTTGAGCATTGACATATGAACGAGGAGGTCACGGTTCGATTCTTGGTCAGGGCACATGCCCGATTGCGGGCTCGATCCCCAGTGGGGGGCGTGCAGGAGGCGGCCGACCCATGATTCGCTCTCATCATTGATGTTTCTAGCTCTCTCTCCCTCTCCTTCCTCTCTGACATCAATAAAAATGTATTAAATAAATATCTATCTCCCGGCTGTCACAGGCCTTTCCTGTGTCGCCCCCTCCCCCGCCCCACCCCTCCCGGCCCCAGCCCGTGTCCGTGGCCTCCGCAGCACCGTGCCGGGAAATTCTCAGAGCGTGAAGCTTCCTTCCTGAGCCCAACGGGAAGACCCAAACCCCACCCAGAAAAGTCCCTCCTCCCAGCCGGACCTGAGGCTGCCCACAGGACCAGGGGGACAGGAGAGCGGATGGGACAGGAGAAGACCCCAACCCAGATCGGGCAGGGGGAGGGCACATCTGCCACCCCACGCTGCCCACTTGGCGGTACAGTCAGTTCCCATGATGCAGGCCGCACACTCCAGCACCTCCAGGATGCCCTGGTCCCCACCCCACGTGCCCCCACCTGGCTCAGCGGGAATGAGGGGGTCTGTGCTCTGCAGGCTGAACCCCATACCTGAACCTCCACATGGGCCGCGTGGCCAGAACCTTGTCCCCGGTCTCTGGATCTGGGAACCCACAGAGCTGGTCAGGCCTCGGCCATCAAATACTCTTAGAGCCAACCAACCGCTGGTCCCCAGGCCAGACCCTCGTCTACCCTCACACAGCACTGGCCAGGCTCGATGATAACAGCAGAGCACCCTCTACACTAGCCCATGAAATCCTCCGAGCCACCCTGTTAGGCTGGGCCCACTGCTTGGCCATTTTGCAGATGAGGAAACTGAGGCTAGAGAAGGGCTTTCTGTTCCATGATCGCCACGGGGGGAGTCAAGACGGGGCCCTGGGTCTCGCTCTAGGGAACTCTTTGCAGACAAAGCTCCCGGGATGCACATGCCCTTGGCGTGGAAGATCCCCAAACAAAGGAGAGAGAAAGTGGGGGGGCAGTAGAGGCAGTGCAGAGAGCTCCAGCCTGGGAGAGAGGGTTTGGGGGCCGAGCCCCTCGGGGAGCCCCCACCCCCCAACTCCCTTCCCAGAGCAGCTGTCCCTGACCTCAGGTTTTCCCTAAACACACGCAGACAGCAGAACAGTTAGGCCCAGCCTGACACAAGGGGGGCCACCGTCACAGGGTCCCCCAGGATCAGGGGGAGCAGCGGGTACCCAGGGCTTGTCTGGGCCAGGAGAGGGGCTCAGGCTCCGGCTCCAGCTCAGGCCCAGCCCTGCCCATCTCGCGGGGGGGTGGGGGGGGTGGGGGGGGCCATGGGCAGAGACCCACAGCTCACTTTCTCCCCCCGGGGTCTGAGTCACTTCCTCTGCCCACCGTGTCCAGCCACGAGTCACCGATTCACCGCTAGCCCGGGCCCTGCTCCTGGAAAAGCCATTTCCTCAGAGGATGGAGGTGGAAGTTGAGTGGACAGGACCTGGCGGCCCTGGGGTGAAGCCTTCCCTGGCAGGCACCCCTCCAGGAGGATGCTGGGGGCCTGGTCCCCGCCCCTCTCCTCCTTCCCTATGCAGACACTGCGGCCCACACCCACCGCCTGTCCCTCTGCCTTCCGATCCCTGCGATCCCTGCAACAGCTCCACTCATCTTTCGAGAGTCACTTCACACACACCCTCTGCTGGAAGCTCTATCCAACCCCCCATTCCCCACCAGAATTCACTCTGAACTCTTGGGGGGGGGGTACCAATACCCAACCCCATTGTCACAGGTCACATCACAGGGGCCCAAACCTGCCTGTGGTGTGGGTCAGACCCCCCAAGGGAGTTGACTAAAATGCATTTTCACAGCCTCCTCTCCCCCCTCTCTCGCCCCCCCACCACCCCCAGGTTAGGACCCAGCGGGTCTGGGCTGGGACTGGGGAGCTGGCTTTAGCAAGCGTCCCTCCAGTCCCAGTGATCAACCCTTGCAGGCTTGGGACCACAGGGGGTAGGGGGGTGGGGGCGGGCAAGCCTGGGATCAAACCCGGAGCCCTGTTTTCTAGAGAAACTCCCAGAGCGGTGGGGCCCAGCCCAGATCACTCCTCGGGTAAGTGGCAGAGCCTGGGCCGGGGGCCAGCAGGCTGTGTCCAGGCGGAACCTCTTGTCACCCCGGTGGCGAGATGTGTCACTCTTTCTGGAACCTAGACGGGGCCTCCC